AGCTGTCAGGTATGAAAATAAACTCCTGGTCTGAAAAAAACCTAATAACATAAATTATTGGAACCTCACTGGGAACTCATTGGACCAGTAAGAGCTGTTTAATGTTATACTCTGGCAAAAGAAGAAATTCAATTTGTCAACTGCACAAAAGTTTATTTTGGTCAAATACATTTTGTGGCTCATATATAGCTATTTCGGTTTAGATTTGAGGGTGGAGTTGTAAAAATGTAAAATGTAAAAACCTAAATTAAAACAATAGGGACAGCCAGGTCAGACCCAGAGGTGTGAAAGCTGCCTTTATGGCCCTGAATGATTCTGCAAATATGACCCCACACCCAGTGCAAGTTCAATAGGCCTAGCTAACTAACAAAAACTATAAACAAGTAGGTGTGTTAGTTTCAGAGTAGTTTCAGTGTAGATAGCTCCTCCCTGCAGGCAGATATAAGGCAGTATCCACCAGTGTCAGACCAGAACTGAAAAAGCAGCTTGGATGAGCTGTGACATATACTCCACCAAAATAAACATTTGTCCAGTTGACAAATTGAAATTTTTTCTTTTGCCATGGATTCGACTAGCCTGATTCATCAGCCGGTTTCACTTCGTGGAAACCGTCTGACCTCGCAGCATTAGGATTTGTTTGCATGAAGGTAGGCGGGTACTTTTTTATTTAACCAAACGCTGCTATTTGGTCGTGATGTATGTAATGCTCCAAATCCTGTAGGAAGAAGGGCAATAACGTCTTTCCCCTTGATAAAATTCACCAAACATTCTCTTTGCGCCGGCTTTAAATCCTCGATCCCGGGAATCGTTGCCAACACAGAATGTCTGTCTTCGTCTATCTCGACCGCTTTGTTTACTGTTGTGATGTACCACAAAAGGGACGTGATGAGTTTGACATCATGACTTCACAGCTCTTCACTGATTGGCCAGTGCACAGTCTACAACTTCTGAGGTTCTTGCAAGGGCTAGGGTTAGGATTCTACCCGGAAGACTGACGGAATCTCCATGGAGACAAGAAGGTAGCGGACCCTCTACCTGAAAACTTGCGTCGTGCACCTTTGTGTCGGAGTGAGCTGAGAAGAAGAGCGGACGAAAACTCAGTAAAAATCAGTGTAAACCATGAGTCTGAGCAAAGCAAAAGTTCTTATTGTGTCTCTGGACAAACGAGAGCAGCAGCAAAGATGTGAGACGTGAGAAGAGAGGTGTGAGTTGAAGGAGAAGCTAGAGCTACAGCTTCATCCAAAAAACGACTTTGATGGAGCCTGTGATTCAGAGGTCTTTGAGTTTTTGAACATGACATAAGTTATTCAAATCGCCGTTGCCAGTTGTGTTCGTAACTAGAGAATATTTGCCCGTGTGGACAGCGTGTCAAGGTAATTAAATGGAAATTAAAGCAGCGGAAAAAACAGGAAAAGCTGTGGTGGCTGATTGGAAAGTGCTTAAATCAGGGACGGAGGCCGAACAATAACAGCCTATTAACTCGGACGCCCTCTGGATGAAGGGTTAAGTTGACCTCTGTTAGTAAAATGACAAATGATTGGCTGACGCTGAAGAGAAGGTTACACTGTGTCGGTTATGATGATCTGTCTCTCTCTGTCCTGACCCAGCCTCCCCCACTCTCTCTCTCTCTCTCTCTCTACCTCCTTCTCTCTCTTTTTCTCTCTCTCCGTAATACTATTTTTCTACCTCTCTCTATCGTTTAATATTTCTCTTTCCCCTTCTCCTTCTTCATTTAAAACTCCCTCTTGTCGTTTCTTTACCCCCTTCTCTCTGTCTGTTTTTCTTTCTAACTCTCTCTCTCTCTAACACTATTTCTATCCCTCTCTTTCCCTCTCATTGTTTCTCTACCCCCTTCTCTCTCTGGATTTCTCTCTCTCTCTCTAACACCATTTTTGTACCTCTCTCCATCTTTCAATACCCCCCCCCTCCTCTCTCTCTCTTTCTTTCACTCTCTTTCTTTCTCTCCCACTCTCTTTTTCTCTCCAACACTATTTCTCTCCCTCTCAATGGTTCTTTTCTTCTTATTGTTTCTCTATCGCCATTCTCTCTCTCTATTTATTTTTTTCTCTCTCACTCTCTGCAATATTTCTCTCCCCTTTCTCCTTATGTCTCTCTTTGTGTCACTCTCTCTCTCTCAAGACTATTAAGACTCTCTTAAGACTATTTCTTTTTCTCACACTGTCTCTCTTTCTCTCCAACACTCTCTCCCTCTCAATGTTTCTTTCCCTCTCATTATTTCTCTTCCCCCTTCTCTCTCTCTTTCTTTCTCACTCCCTCCCCCATGTAACAACATTTCTCTACCTCTTTCCTTCTTTCAACAATTCTCTTGCCCCTTCTCCTTCTCTCTTTTTTCTTTCAATCTCTCTCTCTCCCTCTCGTTGTTTCCTTACCCCCTTCACTCTCTTTCTCACTCTCACTCTCCAGATTTTTCTCCCTCTCTCTCGTTGTTTCTTTACTCCCTTCCCTCTCTCACTCTCTCTCTGTCCAATACTATTTCTCTCCCTCTTTCTCCCTCTCAGTGTTTCTTTCTCTCTCATTGCTTCTTCTTCTTCTCTCTGTCTATTTTCTCTCTTTCTCTCTAACACTCTTTCTCCCTCTCGCTCCCTCTCATTGTTTCTTTACTCCCTTCTCTCTCGGTCTTTCTTTCTCTCCCACTCTCTCTCTTTCTCCACTCTCTCTCTCTAACACTATTTCTCTCCCTCTCAATGTTTCTTTCACTCTCATTGTTTCTCTACCCCTCTTCTCTCTATCTTTCTTTCTTTCTTACTCTCTCACAGTAACACTATTTCTCTACCTCTCTCCTTATTTCAATATTTCTCTTTCCCCCTTCTCCCCCTCTTTCTTTCACTCTCTCTCTTCCTCTCGTCTTTTCTTTATCTCCTTCTCTGTCACTCTGTCTTTCTTTCTCTCCCACTCTCTTTCTCTTTAACACTATTTCTCTCCCTCTCAATGTTTCTTTCCCTCTCTCTCTCACATTCTAACAGTTTCTTTACCTCTCTCCACCTCTCTCCATCTCTCACTACCCCCTCACTTTCAATCTCTCTCTCTTTCTCTCTCACTGTTTGTCTACCTTCCTTTCTGTAACTTTTTTCTCTACTCCTCTCAATCTCACTCTCTACCCTAGTCTCCCTTCCTTTCTCTCTAACACAATGTCTCTCTCTTTCTCTGTCTTTAACACTGTTTCTCTACCGCTCTATCTCTCCCTCCCTCCTCTATCGTTCTCTCTCCCTCCCTCCTCATCCCTGTGTCCTGTGTGTCAGTGGAAAACACATGGACATGCATAAACGCAGTCTGTGACTCATTCTGTGACTAATAGTTATTCCTAAGTCTTCACAACACGTCGCCCGGGCAACCGGACGATAACCGCACACATTTTCCCCTTCTGTCCTTCTGCTCCTCTGACCCTCCCTGACCTCTGACCCCATGTTCTGGTCCCCAATCATCTCGCCATATTCTCTAACCCCATCCTATGACCACGTTATCTGACCACATCCTCTTTCCCCCTGAGCCAACCAAATCCTCTGACCAAATCATCTGACCTCCATCATCTGACCAAATCTTCTGACCGCATAATTCAACCACATCCTTTGACCTCCATTGTCTGACCCCATCAATTAAGATCATCCTCTGACCCCATCATCTGACCCCCATCCTCCGACCCTACCCTCTGACCCCCATCCTCTGATCTCCATTACCTGACCCTATCCTCTGTCCCCCATCATTTGACACTCTCATCTGACCCCATCCTCTGACCCTACCCTCTGACCCCATCCTCTGACTACATTATCTGACCTCATCCTCTGACCCCATTCCGTCCTCCATCATCTGACCTCATTCTCCGACCTCCATCCTCTAACCTCCATAATCTGACCACATCCTCTGACCTCCATCATCTGACCTAATCCTCTGGCCCTGTCCTCTGTCTACATTATCTGACCTCATCATCTGACCTCCGTCATCTGACCTCCATCAGCTGACCCTGTCCTCTGACCTCCATCATTTGACCCCATCATCTGACCTCCATCATCTGACCTCATCTTCTGACCCCATTCTCTGACTACATTATCTGACCTCATTCTCTGACCTCCATCATCTGACCCCATCCTCTCACTACATTATCTGACCTCATTTTCTGACCTCCATCCTCTGACCACAGGCTCTGACCTCCATCATCTTACCTCATCCTTTGACCCCATCCTCTCACTACATTATCTGGCCTCATCATCTGACCTCCATACTCTGACCCCATCATCTGACCTCCATCATCTGACCCTATCCTCTGACCTCCATGATCTGACCTCCATCCTTTTACCTCCATCAGCTGACCCCATCCTCTGACCTCCATCATCTGACCTCCATCCTTTGACCTCCATCATCTGACCCTATCCTCTGACCTCCATCATCTGACCTCCATCATCTGACCCTATCCTCTTATCCCATCAGCCCACCACATCCTTTGACCCCATCACCTGAACACATCACCTGACCCCATCCTCTGAGCCCATCATTTTACTGCATCCTCTGACCCTATCATCTTTCTCTGAACCCCAATGATCTCACCTCATTGTCTACCTCATCGTCTGACCCCCTTATCTGTCCCAATCTTCTCTCCTGTAAAGTTCAAACTTGTGTGATAGTGATAAAAAAAGATCCCTGAAGTTTACACCGTGTAAAGTACAGTTATAATAATGGGTTCACTTACAAGTACTACTGACATTTGGTGTTTCAGTCAGTGACAAGGCCCACAAATTTCTCTTTGTAAATGTTAATAATTTGTGATAGTTACTTAAAATTTTCACTTTTGTAAAACCTGGCATATAAAATCATGTGTTCCAGTTCTTAAATATGTTTTCTAGAGATAAACCTGAACACATCATCAGTGATCATCGGGTGTTTCGGGTCTTTCAACATCAGACACCCTCGCCCAGACGACCCAGCTCCGGCTGATCAGGCCTCGACTTGTGTTCATGTACCACCCACTTGCCCCCATGGATCCAGAATCATCTCAACGCTTTCTCGGCTCCTTTGATAGTGTTTTTGATGTCTCTGGCCCTTGCTGTTCCTGCTATGCCCGATGCATTGAGTGAGGGCTCTGTGGAGTGAGTGGCCCACAAATCCTCTGCAGCCAACCTCGATGGGCATACATTTTGCCTTCCAGGCCTGAGCTCGGCAGTCGATGTCAGCTGTTCATACTTGGACCTCTTTCTTTCAGGGGCCTCTTCCAAGCGTTCCTCCCACGGCTCTGTCAGCTCCATGATTACGATGTTTTTGGTGCTCTCTGAGACCAGCAAGACGTCTGGCCTCAGCGTGCTGATGATGTTCGTGTAAACATACAGCCGGATAATGCTCTTCTATGTCCATTTTGAGTCATTAATCTGTTTAAAAAGGACACTCGAGGACAGGGACAGCACAAAAGAAAAGAAAAAAAAGTACTGAATAGGGATGTAACAATAACTGAAATACCGTGATATTATATCGTCTCACAATAATATCGTGGACCATCACAATATATCGAATTACAAGTCTCTTTGCATAAATTAAGAGTTATGGTGCAGCATTAGATAAAAAAAAAACAGAGGTAACTACATAGACCATGATCCTTCGCTCCATTTCAGTGTAAACTACAAGAAGAAATAACAATTCTAAGCACTTGAAAGTCTTAGTTCTTTGGATTAAGTCTTGTCAAGAAAAAAGGAGCATATTAACCTCCACAAAATTTCGCAATAAATATCGTACCGTGAGATGTATATTGTGGAAATATCGTACCGTAAGATTTGGATATTGTTACATCCCTAATCGTGAGCCTCCCCCATATTGTGCGTTTTCCCACGATATCGCTATAAATATCATATCATGAGGTTCATACCATGATGATATCGTATCGTGAGACTTAAATATCGTTACACCCCTTGTATTGAATATAAGTACTTCATATCATTATTGGTCAATACTAATGTTGCAACCGATATATCACCCATCCCGACTTATTAACACTCTTACAGAAACATTTTAGGATATTCCCTGAACTTGTACAATTACATGACTAGAATTATACTCAATTACAAGCACATATTTAAAAAACTTTTTTTTAAAAAGAGCAAAAAATCTACTCAATGACAATGTGAGTATTTGTAATCAGTTACTTTCCAGCCCTAAGTTTTGAGATATTTCAAGTTCTCCGCGTGATAATGCAGGCTTTTGCGTCAACCTCCAAACTAAATTGTATGTTTTTACCAGAGTCATAGTCATAGTCGTTTGCGTCAAAAGACCAGGAAATTATAACTCTTGAATTATTTATTGGTGCTTGTTTTTGACAGCACCATCACTCCAGTGTGTGAATGCTGTGAAGCCCGACTTCCTGTTTGCACAGCGCTCACTGATATATATCTAAAAAACAGTGGTGGATGAAGGACTCAACTTTGTTACTTAAGTAAAAGTACACACACAAAGGTAAAAAGTTACTTGAGTAGAAGTAAAAGTATCACAAGAAAAAGTCTATTTAAAGGTGTTCTGTGTAACTTCTGGAGGAGGGTCTGTCACCTGCTTGAAGACACTGCCAGGAATGTTCCACAGTATGGCATTACAGGAACAGCAGGTGACACCACAGGGCCAAGTTACATGTCAGATCTGTGGAGAGGCGAGCCCACTCACAGTAAGAATGAAGTTTTTAGGTCAATAAAAAACATGTTATTGAGTAAAGGCAAGATGGATGTGTTTAATGCCACAAGAGAATATTCCAGACAAAGCAACAACATCTCCATGGAGACAAGCAGATAGTGGACCCCATCCTCCCTCCTGTAAAGTTTAAACCTGTGTGATAGTCACAAAGGAGAACCCTGAAGTTTAGACAGTAGTTATAATGGAATCAGGTACAAATACTACTGACATTTAGCTTTTCAATCCATAACGAAGCCCACAAATTTCTCTTTGTAAGTAACATGTCAGACCTGTGGAGAGGCGACCCCACTCACAGTAAGAATGCAAGATGGATATGTTACAGGTTACAGGTGTTTTATAGCTCAAAAATACCTTAAAAACATGAATTCTTACCATGTGCAGGCTTGCTTTTCCATAGATCTGACCATTGCCCTGTCTCCATTGTGATTACCAAAATCATTTCCATACTGTGGCAAAGCAAAACAGTTATATCTCCACATCTCTATGAAACCCGGAATGTTCCACAGTACGACATTACACTTATTTATCTCTACATAGACACTTGTAGTAAAAGTTTTTAAGTCAATAAAAACCTGTGCTATTGTTCAAATCCAAGATAGTGCTCTATACAACTTTTTGGTTGGGGGTCGGTCACCTGCTTATTTCTATGGATTTACCATGACTCTGCCTGGAATGTTCCACAATATGACATTAAACAGCTCTACTTTACATTTATTAAATTGCAGGTGGTTTTATAGCTCAAAAATACCAAGAAAAACAGGCAATCTGACTGTGAGCGGGTTCAACTCTCCACAGATCTGATACCTGTTTAAGTCCCTTTTAAAAGTGTTCTTTAAGAGTAAAAATTGTTGTGTAAGTACATAAGAGTAAAGTATTTCTATATAAGTGTTTTTAATTTGTCAGGACATTACCACAAACATTGTAAAATAATCCTAAAATCATGCAAAAGTACTTTTTACTTTTCAGTCCAGTTCAAAAATGTAATGGAGTAAAATGTACAGATACCTGCTTTCAAATGTAGTAAAGTAAAAATAAAAAAGTATAGATACCTAAAAATACTACTTAATTATAGTACTTTACTACTTGTACTTTCTTATGTTCCATCACTGCTAAAATTAACAAGAATCCTGCAGAAAGAGTTGGAAAATGTGCATTTTATTTGTTACTATCCAAGTTACAGAAGTTATAGTAACGGTCAATAGTAACAGCTGAATAGGACTTTTGCACTTTTTTGCAAAGCACACTATAAAATATCTGTTTAGTATTTGCATAGTCTTTGATTGTGTGCGATTGTCTACTCTTTAGGTTTGTATAGACTTTTTAGCTGCAGTATGTTACAGTGCCATCAGGGGGCAACAAAGCACCACTGTTAAAGCTAAGACGTGATCGACCAGATGAGTCCAAACGTTCTTAATCAAGGGCCCTTATGGAAACACAGACAAAACAGAAGGACGATGCAGGGGCCTTAGACTGGGGTCAGTGCAGAGAATCATTCAAACTTTTCAAACAGGGGCCCCAAAATAAATGTGAACAATGCAACCCAAAACAAAATAAGTTATATTTTGTAGTGTCAACACAATTGATTTCATTTGGCTTTTTTTTTTATTTTTTAATTCAATTCAATATCACAACACAATCAGCGTGCATCCCACTAATGAAACAACCGCACATCGCATCAGGTTTGTGAAGTTGTAGTGTACAGTTTTGTATCATGTTTTTGTATATTTAATGAGAATTGTCATGTGCTTACGTGGGTGATGTGGGCTTGTGGGTGGAGCATTGGACAGAATCTTAGAGTGAACCATAAGAAGAGTTTGAATAGAGCCCGGTAGAGATCACTAAATGACTCAAACGCATGGATGAGTTATAAAACCTCTTTAAAGATGTAGTTTGATGAGTGAACAACGTTATAACATGGTAGAAAGTGGATTTTGCATAATAAGCCTCCTTTAATTGCATTTATTTGAGATGTTTAATGCACAATTTGACCTAATTTACTTGAAAATAAAGAGTTTAAGTTAAATACACTGTCATTATCATGAAATTTAACGGTAAATTGTCGCATTTATACAACACTTTACGTCACAAAACCACAAATCCACCAGACATTTGGGGTGAGGTGGGTTAAGTGTCTTGCCCAAGTACACAACAACAACACCATTCACCATCTGCAGGAACTGGAATCACACCGCCAACCTGTCAGTGAGTGGATCTGACACTAAATGTTTCAAATTTGGTTTACAAATGAACATATTTTTTAAACTCGCAGTAAGAAAGTCTTGTTTACATTTATTTGGGGCCAGAAAAAGATTGGTCATTGGGCCGGATTTGGACCCCGGGCCATAGTTTAGACCATAGGCTGTAAATATAAATGGGCATACAAATCTGGCTCCATCAACTCTGGCTCCAATTGACTATTTATTTGCACTACTTCATGTATTACGTTTATTAACGTTTGCTATATTTAAACTGAACACGTACGTGGGTTTTTTTACGCTCTAAACTTTTCCATTTGTAGTGAAATTACCAAAACATTAACTTACAGTACATTTACAAGTTGGTCAGGTAATTGGTTTATTTTTGAAATAACATTGTTCTCTATTTTTACCCTGTTGCTAAGTGCACTGTTCCTCGTAAAAACCTGAACAGAGAAGTGCTTTCGGTTGGATAACAGCAGTGATCTAAGAAGTACTCAGTTTGGTTATGTAAAAGCAAAAGTATCACATGAAAAAGTTCAGTAAAAGTATCAAAGTACTTGTTTAAAAATGTACTTAAAGAGTAAAAAGTAAAAATATTTAGCACAGATTTTGAGATCTAATAAAGTTTCAACTTGATGAAGAGTCGTGCTGAATTTGGTTCAAGAAAACAAACAAATCAAGTGACTCAGCCATTTTTTCTAGATGTTTTTCTTTTCAACAGGTCTCAAATTATAATTAAAAACGCTTTTACTTTTCAGTTCTTTTCAAAAATGCAGTACAGTTGAATGTACGGATACCTGCTCTCAAATGTAAAAGTAAAAGTAAAAAGTATCCACTCTAAAATGTACTTAAAGGTGCACTGTGTTCTGTAACTTCTATTTCGGAGGGTCTGGTACTTGCTTGTCTCCATGAAGCTGTTATTTCTTTGTCTAGAATGTTCCACAGTAGGGCATTAAACATATCTCCATGCATTTGTTCAATTACAGGTGTTTTATAGCTCAAAAATATCTTAAAAAACATGAATTTGTAACACGTGCAGGCTCGCTTCTCCATAGATCTGACCATTGACCTATCTCCATTGTGATTACCATGTTTATTTCCATACTGTGCCAAGGCAAAACAGTGATATCTCCATGGAAACAAGCCAGCGACGGACCCTCCTCCAGAAAAGTTAGACAGTGCACGTTTCAGTAAAGTACCGACACCTCAAATTTAAAAGAGCACTGTGTTATTTTCCTGCTTCTCTCCCTGGAAATGTCGCCTGGAATGTTCCACAGTACGGCATGACACTTATTTATCTGTACAGAGACAGCAGGTGACGCCATAGGGCCGAGTTACATGTCAGATCTGTGGCGAGGCGAGCCCACTCACAGTTTTTATGAAAAGTTACTGTGTAAATGCAAGATGGATACATTTAAAAGGTGCACTATGTAACTTTTTGGTTGGGGGTCTGTCACCTGCTAGTCTGATTCATC